AAAAAAAAAAAAAAAAAAAAAAAGAATGACTGACAGGGGCTTTCATTTCAGTAATGTCTGGGAAATGATATATATAGCAAGTACACAGTGTATGCTTATGTCAGAAGTTGGGCTTTTCAACAAACTGAAAAACATGCTAAAGAGATAGTGATACTTCAGAATTGATGGCAAGGAGGATTAAAAATCCCCTAAAGCTTGAAGTATTTACTGAATGCTTTGAGCCCCCAGCTTGCATCCCCGAGTCAGCTGGCACAGAGCACGCTCGCTGGCGGTGCTTCTCCTCCAGCCGGGTGATCCTTAAAACTGCCTCCCCCAAAGCCCTCGTCTGTCTGCATTCACCTGGAGTCCAACCATTAGGTGTTGTGGTGAGTTTGTGCTCAACCCCCGACTGCTCTGCTGACAGATCTACATCGGAGCCATCATCCCCCTGGGCGCGGCCGAGAAGGACGGCCGCCTGCGAGCTGCCGACGAGCTGATGTGCATCGACGGGGTCCCTGTGAAGGGCAAGTCACACAAGCAAGTTTTGGACTTAATGACCAGCGCTGCACGGAATGGTCAGGTGCTGCTGACAGTCCGCAGGAAGATCTTCTTCGGTGGTAGGTGTCCGTCTGTCCGGAGGGGGGGCGGCAGGACGCGCCTCTGGCCAAAGCAACGCTTACGTTTTGTCATAAAATCAGGTAGAGCTGCTCTGAAACTTAGCAGTCATTGCCCTAGAGCTGAGCAGCATGAGGTAGTGGAGAAAAGCAGAACTTAAGCACTGAGGCATCAGCTGATCGCTCGTTCACGCTGCTGACATGGTCAGGGCTCTGAAAACAGCGATGCAGTGGTGTTTCCTTCAGACCCTTTTGCAGATAATGGTTAGAAGAGCCACTAATGCTCTGCAGATCAAGTAGGCACACAATCTCCTTTCTGTACAACATGCTGTATTCTCAAGTCCTTTGGCATCTGTGCATAGCAAGAATAAGTTCATTCAAAGCAGAGATGGTTCGGGGCAGCATGTTGTGACTCTGCAGCCCGAGATCAGTGTCCGGGTCGGCAGCACACAGGAGATCATTGTCCTCGACGCGCTGGTGCTGACAGCTGGGACGGGGTGCAGGAGCACTGATAACAGCCCCCTGTTCCCAGCAGCAGCCAGTATTGCTTTTCCACTGCGTTATTCAACCATTAATTCTGAGTGTATGTAATTAAAAGGAAGAAAGTATTTTTAAGATCAATTCCCGATTTCTTTAAGATGCCTTCTGATAGACTACTTCTGGACCAAAAGTTTTTAGGTTCCTAACAGAAAGCCTGGCTTCAGTCTTCAAACTGCCTTTTAAAAACCATTTCATTTGTTCCAGGGAAGCCCTTGTTCCTCACTGATGTAGCCACAGTTGTAGTTTGTAGCTGGATCCCTGCCGCAGGTCTTGTACTCGTAGCCTGCAGAAAAACCCCGGTGGTTTTTGCTATAAAAGGGTGTCAGGTGGCTCTGGCAGAGTCTGTGTGGGCACTGCCAAGTCTCTCTGCTGTGTGCAGCCGCCTTCCCGTGCGTCCCTGCACACACCTGTGTGGGCCTCTGGGCCTCTGAACGCTTTGTCCTGCATCCGATTTCTGTTTGATCCCAACCGCATTGTTAATAAACTCGCCCCTTACTTTCCCAGGCAGACAGTGTTTCCTCGTGCTGGCGCTGATACGGAGAGGCACAGGTTTGCTGTAGTGGCTTGCTAAAACAGCAGTATTGTTTCTTCCTCATGTGTTGTTTGTCTGTTCCCTGCAAGGGGAAAAGCAACCGGAGGAGGAGGAGTCGCAGGCGGTGCTGGCGCAGAACGGCTCTCCCCGACCGAATCGGGCAGAGTTTGCAAACCAGCAGTCCCCGGAGGTCTACGACGTCCGTCTGCAGCGGAAGGAGAACGAAGGGTTTGGCTTCGTCATCCTCACCTCAAAGAACAAGCCTCCTCCGGGCGGTAAGTGCCACGTTGGGGCTGCATGGTGCTGGGCTCCCGCGGGCTCTCTGGCGGGCGGTGTTACAGACACAGTCAGCTTCCACGCACGCTGTTCCACAGCCCGACCACCCCAGGCCTGCTCTGTCTTGCACCGTGTTTATGCTCTTTGTCACCCAACTGTGACGCAAGTGGGGAGCAGGGGGAAGGTTTGTCACGGGCAGGAGCGTGCGCTTGTCGCAGGGTGGTCATCAGGACGTGGGTGGTGTCGGGCTGTGGTGGCGATGCACATCCTCACGCTGCATTAGTTCACAGGCGGTTTAATGGAAGTGGAGGTTCAACCTTGGCTTTACATTACCTAATCAGGTAGAATTTCTTCTTTTGGGGATCTGAGAAAGTAGAGACCACGGTACTTGGAAGAAAGCAATGAAGCTGTCGCTGTCAGACAGGGTGTCTGTCAAAGGATCATCAGAATGAAGAAGTAGCATGTTCCGGTGTTACAGTTCTGATGCGTAGACCTGGCTTCAGGCATAGTTGTAAAGATAAACAGCAAAATAACCGAGGTTAAAAGCAAAAATTAAAAGCAATATTGTGAGCAGAAGTGAGCAAGAGAAGGTGCTGGCGGGAAGCCCTGGAGTCCAGCCCAGGTAATGGAAGGATCTGTGACCCCCTGCGCAGGAGCGGGGCCGCCCCGCAGAGCCCCCACATCTCGGGGGCAGCACCACCGCCGAGACTCCTTCCCCTCGGCCTCGGGTCGGGGCTGCCTGTGTCAGCACTGGAAGTAACAGGCCAGCTCTGTTCACCCACAGACAAACGCAATTCGATGACATCACTTCGGAACCCTGGGTGTAAATCACCCTTCTGAAACTTCCTCGGCGGGTCCCAGACAGACACAACGATGGCTCGAAAGCCTGTCTCTCTTTTTATTGAGCCTCAGACACTTTCTTCTGTTTTTCCACTTCATTTTACGGCACAATAAAAAACCAGCAGGAGCACAGAAAAAAAGCGTCTCTAAATAACATTGTGCTGAATTCATCCGATATGTATTTAGAGCACGGTGCAGCCTGGCTCGGGCGGAACCTTTCCAGGAAGGCTCTGGGAGCGCCTGGCGCGGGGCGAGCTGGCACCTTCCCGGCCTGCGCTGGCCTCGGGGTGCCCCTGGGTGCACGGAGTGTGGTCTGGCCAGTTGGTTATCGAGAAAAAATATTCTAAACAGAATTATATCCTGTTACAACGGTACTACAGACACCATTTGTGTCGGGGGATGTGCTGCAAACCCGTTTATTAGATATTAGAGCTGAAAGTAGAAGACGAAGGCAGTTCCAGTGCTGGGCAGAGCGGCCCCCTGGCCCGGGCTGTTTCGGACACGCAGTGGAAGAGGCGCTTCCGCGGGCTGCGCTGCGCAGGAGGTTCCTGTGTCGCAGTTTAACGTGAAGCTACTGTGTTCTTCTAAAGCCAGGATATTTTAAAAACAAGTCATCAGCGACTGAGTCTGCAACCCTGCAGTGCTTTGCTCTGCACAGTTGGCTCTTAGGTTTATATAATACTTAAAAAAACCAGTCTATTAAGGGAAGTGTAATTAAAATTTGAACTCATGGTAAATGCTAGAAGGCATCAATGTCTGCTCCTTCGCAGTAACTTCTGCGTGTGCTGGCTCATTAAAGCAATCCTTGATGGCTGCTTAATCTTGGGTGGCTGATGACACTGAAAGTGTTTCAGATCTGCTGTTGTGGCTTGGAAAAGCCAGCTGGTTAAAATCCTGACAGGCACGGAACGGTGCTGAGCGCTCCGATCCCTCGGAGAAGAGCGTGTCTAGGAGAGCAGCTACGGCAGAGGACAGGTATCCACCAAACCCCTTCGGGCCCTGGAGACACAGGCTGCTGCGTGAAGGACCAGGGAGCATTGATGCAGCAGCCGGAGGTCAGTCTGGAGAGGCATTTGGAACCGAGTTACAAAGGAGCGGCGCAGCAGTTCTGGCAGAACCGCCCCTGTGAGGGATTTGGGAAGGACAGGAGCCAGTTTTGCATCCAGATGGACGAGGGGCTGCTCTAGACGCTGGCGGACGCGCTGTGAGGTGACACGGGTCCTTCTGTCGGGGCCACGTCAGCACACGGGCAGCCCCGCGGCTCTGCCCCGGGTCTTGGGGCCGCCGGGTGCCATCTGCAGCGTCCGGGTCAGCAAACCCCGAAAGAGGCTCAGCCCCGCGCCGCTGCGTCCTGGGGAGAGCTGGAGGGGCAGGGAGCGTCCCTCCCTCCTTGGCCCTTTGGTTCCGCTCCTCCTGCGGCCGTGTTCCCCCCGGGAAGCAGCAGCAGTCTGTCTCCTCCTGCTCCTGCCGCAGCTCACTCTGCTGTGCTGAGGGTCGCTGCCGAGGTGCTCGCCAGGTGAAGTCAGTCTCTGGCAGGAGAAGTTCGACTTCCTTTTGGGTATTTAAGGTTTCATGGTTTGGTTGCAAGGAGGAAGAGTTAACCTATGCGTCCAGATTTCTAACAACTGTGTTAAACTGGTTGTCTGTCCCCGTCTCTGAGTCCACGCAATGCTCCGGGGTCTGTGTGTGAAATGGGAGATAAGTTACGGGAGGGAAATCTGCCTCAGAGTGCTCCTGGGACTTGGGGTCTTGCTCATCCCTTTGCAGAGGTGACCCAGTTCCTTCCCCTGTTCTCCTTTAGGCACAACACCTTGTTCGTGGTGAGGCCGTGCTGTCAGGCTGGTGTTTCCATTCACCCAAGTGAAACTTTCTCCATGATTTTCAGGTTTTTCTTGTCCCATCAGTGCTGCCCTTCGGGGCAGGAGCGGGCTCTGGGTTGACTGTGGCAGTTCTGGGTCTGGGTGACACTTACCTGACCTGAACGTTAATGGTGTTGCTGTGCCTGTTCTTGATCTCGTAGTGATTCCTCACAAGATCGGGCGGGTTATAGATGGGAGCCCAGCTGACCAGTGCGGGAGGCTGAAGGTGGGGGATCGCATCTCGGCGGTGAACGGTCAGTCCATCGTGGAGCTCTCGCACGACAGCATCGTGCAGCTGATCAAGGACGCGGGCAACGTGGTGACCCTGACTGTGGTGGCTGAGGAAGGTGAGGAGCGGGCGGGCGGCTCTGCCGGAGCCTCGTGTTTGTCACTTCTGAAGTTAGTTCACGCAGCGTGCGGTATTTTAAGAGGTTTGGAAATGAAAGAAAAGAGCGTGAAGCTCATGTGTTTGCTCTGGAAGAGCTGAAGGCAGGCGGGGCAGAGCCTGCTGCTCTCCAAGGTGGTTTTGCCGGGAAATAAGATACAGGCATTAACCCCACGGTGCAGGGTAGGAGGAATTCCCAGGGCTTCTCACACGAGAGAGACACTGCTGCTCCCATGGAAACTGTCCTGTCCAGACCTTGTACTCCTCAGCCAAAGAGAAGTGACCTCTCCTGGGGCAGCTGCAGCAGCCGCGGGACGATGCTCAGAGAGAAAATCCCCCCCCGCGGTGCCTCCCCCCGCCGGGCGGAGCGGCAGCACCCCGGCCCGCAGGGACACCCGCACCCCAGTTCAGGCCCTCGGAGGTTTTCCCTCCCGCCGTGCGAAAACGCACAAACGGCCTCATGCTGCTTCCCTGGGGCCCGGCAGAAACCTCCCGTGGTTCTGTCTGCCAGGAGGGCCCTTTGAGAAAGCGTCCCAGCCCGCGACAGCCTCGCCCGGGGTCCCCCCGGAGCCTCCCGGGCCCGCCGCGGATCCTTCGCTGCCCCGAGCAGCCTCGGTGCCTCTGACTGCGGAGTCCCGTCCCGGGAGAGCGCGTTCCTAGCGCAGGCTCCCGTGCCACGCTGCGCTCGCTCTGGGATTGTTTCTGCACAAACAGTTCCCAATAAATACGGAAAATCCAATCATTTCAAGAGAAAAGCTGTTTTCCAGCCCTGCTTACCGCTGCGTTTTTCTGGATTGCTGCTTGTGGGTTTAATTAAACTTGCTGTTGTCATTTTGCCAGAAAGTTGGCTTTCTTCACCTTTTAAATAATAAATACCTGAAGCCAGAATGTGTTACTCACTGATGAGTCTCTAATTACACATTCTTTGCAAATATTTAACATGCTATCTCCGCCTGTAATATGGAATTTCAAAGACAATTTTCCTTTTTGTTAATGCTTGAAGCAGAGAAACTTCTGTAAATCGTTATTTTTCTATTAAGATTTTAATTTTTATCAAATCTAATTCATTTCAGTTGGAAGGGACACACCTCAAAACAGTTGCCCGGGGCAGTGATAATGCAGCCGTAGTGAGTTGGTTCCATGAGGTCTGTTTCTCCGGGGCTCTTAGTCACCTTTGTTTTCAGACCGAGCTTTCTGACTGTAACATTTTTGTCCCTTATTTATCCCTGTCCTCACCTGGACTCTGCATAAGAACTTTTTGCGCTTCCTTAATTACAGATTTGGTGCCAAAACGTAGAGATAAAACAAGACCCAACAAAGAGAGCTGGGGGAAAAAAAGTCAGTAGCAGGTGGTAAAACTCGGTTGAAGAGACCAGTCAAGCGTGGCTTAGAGGAGCTGGAGTTGGCGTGTTTCAGGTGTAAAGCATTCTGTGACAGCGAAGGGGAGAGAAGCAGAACCTGTTCCACTGAAATGCAAATGTATCGCTGCTTTAAAATTCTCTTGATTTGGCTCCGGTCCGAGGTGACCCCTGCGGCAGGGTGGCTGTGACGTGGGCCCGGGGCGCTCCCGCTGGGTTGCTGGGGGCGGTTCACCGGCAACGGTAACGGGACGATCCCGGCGTGGCGGAGCGCCGGTTCTGCCGGGGCTCGGCACGGCAAAGCGCAAACCCCGCGGAGTTCGCTGTTCCGCAGGGCATCAGCTTCTGTGCCTCACCCTCTGAGGCTGGCACAGAAAACGCTGCCTGTGCCCCTTCCCTCTCCCTCCCAGCTCTCGCAGATGGGTGATCTTTCCTTTTCATACCAATAAACGGATTCCACTTCGTGCGCCAGAAGACATTCTTTAACATTTTTCACAAGAGCAGGAGCCTGTCAGCTTTTGTCATGTATTAGCTGGAAACACAAGAGAGCAGGCTGAAAAGAGGACTTAGAGGATTTGTACAAACAGATGGCATTTTTCTTGCCTGTGCTTCTAAATTAAAACTCCGAGGGTAAACCAGGAGTAAAAGTTGACATTTTGTCTCTAGAGAAAAACCTCTTGAAGGCACGTCACAGTAAAAGCACCCAGCAGCCCTGTGAAGGGCTCGGGAGGTCTCGTGTACCTCAGAGACTCGGTCCAACAACACGCTTTGTTTTCCTTCCCTCCAACGCGTGAGCGCTTTGTGGACTTTACTGGGGTTTGTTTGTTCCTCGCTGAGAAATGCAGTGATGTGGTGCACCTCACAGGGGCTGCAGCATCGCTCCTCGTGGCGCTTGGGATTTTGTTGTTAACCCTTACAAGGAAAAGGAGTTTATTAGTTTATAATTCAGCATGTGTGGAAGGGAAAATAATCTTGAGCTATTTTAAAAGATTTTATTAAATGTCACTCTGCTTTCGTTGCTGCTTAACCTGTCAGTGAGCGAGTCCCGTGGCGTGGCTGTGGGACCAGTTCCTGACCTCCCCTGGAACTGGCCGGCAGCAAACGCTCCCCTGTGCCTCGAGGGCGTTGACAGTTCCTCGCCATCCCCTGAGTCTCACTGCCCCTCAGATCCTCGTTCTCCTCACCTTTAGGAAGGGATGTGTTCTCAAATGGGTGTTGTTCTTCATCCCTTATGAAACTTTAATATATTGAATATCCAGACTGACGTCATGGATCTGACCAGCCTTCGTCCCTTCTGGTCTTTATCAACTTGCAGACAGTGTAAAAACCCTCCTGCTCTTGTCTGCTGCTGATCAAATCGTGTTGTTTCTCTGAGGAAAAGCTGCGTAAATACGAACAAAGTTCCTAGTAATTCATTCCATGGAGCCAGCGACCTGCACTCGTGTTCCTGGCTTACGGCCCCAGACCTGGGAAGATCCTCCCGTCCTCTCCCCCTCGGCCGCAGCCCGCCCGGCTCTGTACCTGCCGGGCTCTCTCTGACCGTTGATTTTTCTCTGAATTCATTAGAACACCGTGGTCCTCCCTCAGGAACAAACTCTGCCAGGCAGAGTCCAGCTCCGCAGCACCGGCTGCTGGGACCGGCACAGCTCAACCCTGGCGGCACAGACAGGTACGGAGCTGGGGGGGCACGGCCGGGGGGCAGAGGGCTTGGAACGCAGAGGTAACACCCTCGTCCTTTCACCTCTGCCTAGGGGAGCGACAGAAGCCGAAGCTGGAAAAGAAGTTTCAAACAGTTACAGGCTGTCCTGGCCCGAGCACAAGCACCTGACACAGCCCGACGCTGGCGTTGCTCCGATTATTGGCAGCCGTCACGCCCAGGCACAGGTAACCCCCCCCCCAAAATACTGCTCCATCAAGACGCTACCGTGGCATTGCCACTGAGATTCAAAACCAGAACAATAAACATTTTCTTGTCAAAAAAAGTTGTGTATAAGAATGCACTTAAGTGTTTCGGTGGTTTTGCTAATGTTTTAAATTTGATTATCTCCTTGGCATACTTGAGTAATCATTAAAATTATAAACGACACAGAAAGTGCTTGCAACGGGGCTACTACAGACCCTTTGGCAAAGTTACTTAAAGAAACTTCATGTATATCTAAAACTTAGAAGGAAAAACGTTGTGTCTGTTTAGACTGAGAATGGAACCCTTACACCTAATCGTACTGAGCGGTGCTGAATTCAGCCTAAATCACGGCTTGCGTGCTTCTCAAAATACAGAAATGTGTGAAGCATTTTTCTAGAAAAACAAATGTTTAAATGTGCCTACAAGTCCTCATCTTTTTTCTCTCTGACTTCCCACGCAGAATCCTGGCTGTTTCCCAGTCGAGCTGGAAAGGGGCCCTCGAGGGTTTGGATTCAGCCTTCGAGGAGGGAAGGAATACAACATGGGCTTGTTCATCCTTCGACTGGCTGAGGACGGGCCAGCTGTCAAAGACGGCAGAGTGCATGTGAGTTGGTCTTCTCAAATCAGTTTGTTGATCCCCACTTGGCCTTTTGAGGCGTTAATTTACCCACAGTGGCAGCGAACTCTGTTCCTCCCCGAGCGCCTGGTCCCGGCGGGCAGCGCGGCTCCGGCCAGCCCCGGCCACCTGCCCCCGGCCCAAGTTCCCCGCGTGTCCCGGCTGCGGGCAGCAGCCACTCGCTGCACTGCAGGAGCTCTGACAACAAACTGCCCCGTGGAGCAGGGAGCTGGAAGGAGAATCGCTGCCCGAGGCAGCGAGCTGGTGAGCACTTTGTGTGTCCTGCTCCGTGCCGTTTGAAGGTACAAACCCGCCTGGTTATTGTGTTCATTTTATGTTTGTGTAAGGAGTTCACTTTCAAGTATTGTAGTAAAAGCAAAATACACGGGTACAGCAGCAAAGAGCAGCGGTGCCACGGCCCGGAGCTGGGTGTTGGGAGGCCGGAGCGGGGAGCTGAGCCGGCGCTCAGCAGGACAGGGCTGACCCAGACCTCGCTGGGGCTGCTGGGGGGCTTAACTGGGTGTGAAATTCGAAGTACCGATAACTTCTGTGATCCTGATTCTTTACACTAATTCCCTCCTCTCCCCGCTGCCTGAGGGAGTACGTGAGTGGAGTGTTTAGTGCTGGTGTTTTCTCTTGCGTTGCCCTTCAAGCGGTGTTGTGCCAAGCTCCGCGGCCCCACGCTCAGGGCAGAGCAGCCGAAGGTTCGCGGGCGGCTGCGCTCGCACCCGGGCTGGGCGGGGAAAGGACCCCGGCCCCCGCGCCCCGACCTCCACCGGGAGCACGAGGCCTCAGCGCCCGGGTGAAGCTCCTGGCACCGCCTGGCACCCGGTGGTTGCGTCCCGCGGGCGCTGCGCCCGGAGCTCGGGGTGCAGCGGGACCGCGCTCGCCCAGCCCGCCTCGCTGACAGTCTCCCTGTCGCTCTGTCCCTCCCTCGGCTGGGGGATGTCTCATCCTCTGGCTGTGCTCTAAACCCGTGCCGAGGCCTTTCTCCGCCCTGGTGGCAGCTGAGCATGACAGGAGGCACGTCCTGCCCTGCCGGCGAGCGACCTGGCAGTGCCCTCCTTCGGCAGAGCCCGCTCGGCTGACCGAGCCCGGCCAGGCTCTTGAGGCCGCTCGGTTCGTGCGCCAGTGACATCCCTCGGCCGACCCGTGTACCGCAAACAGGTTTGTGGAGCCTTCGGCCCTTCCAGCCCTTCCCGCAGCCTGCCGGGGCGGAGCGGGGGTTCCCTGCCCCGCGCCTCTCCCCGGTGCGGAGGCCGCGGGGACCGTAGTGGTGATCGCGGTGATCCCTCCTCCGCAGAATGAAAAATCCTTCCCTGCCGTGGAACCCGCCCTGCCGGGAGGGCGTTCAGCTCTGTGGTAGGGGGGAGGCTGCCGCGGGACCCCAGCTGGCTTCGGTCGGGCTCGTGGTGCCGCGTGGGAGCGGTTCACCCGTCAGCTCCTTCCACGCCACGACCCAGACTGGAAACATCTGAGCCCGTGGCGGCGTCCGTCCCGTCCCTTGGGATGAGGGGAGCGGCTGTGTGGCGGCTCTGGCCGGGCAGGAGAGCTGCAGGCAGAGCTCCCAGTTGCCCGCGCGGGCGTCGTTGCTGGCGCTGAGGGGATTTTAGTGTGAGAGGAAAAACAGAAGCACCTGCCTCCGATTTGTTTCTTCCTAAACTAAAAATTAGTGTATGGTGTCACAGATTCACAAAGATTAACCTGGTCGCTATTTTCTCGTCAGGTTGGTGACCAAATTGTGGAAATTAATGGAGAACCCACGCAAGGAATCACTCACACACGAGCCATTGAGCTGATTCAGGCCGGAGGGAATAAAGTTCTGCTGCTGCTGAGACCAGGGACTGGCCTGATACCAGATCACAGTAGGTCACCTCCAGTGCCCCTTGGCGGGGAGGGTCCGAGGCAGTGAGGGAGGACACTTGGGCGCTTGTTTGCTGAAACAGTCAGCACTTCCCTTTCCGACAGCCGTGCGGGTGTTCGTATTTATTTTAAAATATAAGGAAGATTTTGGGGAGAATTAACACATGACAAGTACCCAGGAATGTTACGTAGTGTGGAATCACTCCGTAATTGTAATAAGTTTCTCAGCTCTGTCCAAGCTAATCGAGTTTTCCTATACAAATGTGATAATTAACACTGATTGCATTTTAATTTAAATTAAAATTTTCTATGATACAGTACTCAGTTCAAAATGCCTATATTGTTAAGAATATTATTTCTGTGCAGATTTACTTCACCGGTTTTAGCCTTCTAAATTATGGAATGTTTGGTTTTTCAAAGTCAGAACTTGAGAAAGCAGGGAGAGACGGCTTTGCTCCCAGAATGGGCCCTGTTTAAGGTGTGACTTCTGCATCTGCAACAGGAAAGCACATCTGTGTATTAAAAAAAAAAAAAAGGGGGACAGAAAAGCAAATGCGTGCAGGAGTTCAGGTGCAGAGCACAAAACCGAGGATGTCGAGTCTGACTTAGGAAGGGCTCCAGACTGCAGATCAGAGAGGCCTGTGGCTGTGCTCTAAGGCAGAGGACACTCTGAGCGCCTTTTGGGCTCTTAACCCCTGGTGCTGGCGCCAGGATTCTGACGGTAAACGCCCTAAACCGCGGGGGCCCTTTTCCTGACCAAGAGCTTTTCCATAACTGACCAGCTGCGAGTTTAAATTTCCAAACACACAGTTTGAACTCCCAAATAGTTTGTTGTGTTCAGCCATTTGCAGGCAGCAACGGCCGTCCACTCGAGGGATAGAATCTGCTCAGAACTTGCCCTGTCTCTTTCCCCCAGAGCCCTCGAAGTCGGCCCTTCAGGTTTGAGCTGCTCCAGCCCGCGCAGCGGGATCGGGGCGAGTGGCGCGGGAGGAGCCCGACTGCGAGCTGCAGGGGCTGTTCTGTGCCATCGGGGCGGCCCTGCCTGCCGGGTTTGTGTCTCACTGATCGCTGGGCCCTCAGGGGCGAAGGTTGGAGCCAGTCCTGCTCCTTCCTGGTGAGCTGCTGCTGCGCTTCTCCCACAGCAGCGCCTGTGAGCTGGGGGAGAGGGAGGCGCGGGAGGGCCCTCACCCTCTCCCCACTTGACACCGTTTCGGTGCCTCTCTGCACACGAGGGCTGCGCTGTAGTTCTCCAGAATTGCGCCTGAAACCTGAGTCTGAGGCAGAAACACACAATCAGAGAGAAGTCTGAAGGAGCCTGGGGAGCCCGTCCGGTCCAGCCCTCTGCCCAAGGCCTGACCTTAGCTCAGATCAGCTGTGGAGAGGGGAAGGGTTTTGTTGCCTCTTGTCTTGCTGTTAATCGTACGTTTCTGATTGAAGTCTTGCTTGCTGTACTCTGTGATTTTGGTATGTAGTTCTGGGCTTTTTCTCTTCCTCCTTCAGGTTTGGCTCCTTCCAGTCTGTGTCCCTACGTGAAACCTGAGCAGCATTAAGGGCTTTCAGTGCTTTTCTTGGTTTTTCCTTAAAGACTTGGTAAATCTGCATGTCTTGTGTTTCATCTCTTCCTGTTATTAAAATGCAAAGCTACGAATAACCTCAACTTTTCACTGTTTTCAGTTTTCTAAGAGTTTCAGTTCATTTGGTTTTCTTATATTAAACCTTGTAGGTCAGGGACTCTCTATTTTGCCGTTTTCTGCGTAGGCTCTAGAGCTCTGCTGAGACCGTGTCAGTCCCGCAGGGATCGTGCCAGCGTTCCGAGCACGAGTGTGTTCCCGAATCTCATCCTTACGGTGGTTGTAGGTTGTAGAACAACACGATACAGAAAAACTGACTAAATAAGATTTTGAGAGTTCGCCACTACTTAATCTTTTTTTAAACTGAAGATTTCATATAACACCCTGGAACCTCAGTAGTATGCCCGTTGCTAAAATATTTAGTGATTAGAGGTTTTTTTTCTAGTCATTTAGTCAAATCTCTCATTGTTCACTTCCAGGTGATTGGGATAGTTCTATTCCATCTTCGTCAAATGTAATATATGAAGAACAGTCACCATTATCTTCATCTTCACATTCTGCTTCCCCACCTGAAGTGTGTTATTTACCAGTACCAGGAGAAGCTTTAACGAGAGTTCAGCTGTCTGAGAAACTGGAACAAGCAAAGAACACTGTGCCTGACAAGATAAGCACTTTAACTGAAAACCGGTTTGAGAAGAAGCTTCACTCTTCTCCCCAGAGAACAAAGAACAGATGGGAGTGTCCCTCCAGCCCCGGGTTTGAAATCACAAAAGGCAGTTTGGAATTAGGGACCAGAAGAGACAGATCTGCGAGTCCAGAGACGTCAGTGGCTGCTGAGGGACACCCTCACACGGGATTCCACAGCCCCAGGAAAGGGGATCCGGAAAAAACCTACAGCAATCTCTTACATAAACCTGACAGTTCCAGAAAGGGCGAGAGTAAACCCACCGAAATGGGGATGAACAATAGCAACAAAAAAGAGTATTCCAGAGGAAATCGAGGAAGGTCTGCCAGTCCCCTGAAGCATCTCGGTAAGCAAGGAAGCGTAGAGACAGTGGGCAGGTTACAGGAACATCCAGATAGAACAGCTGGTGGTGATAAGGCGACTGTTGAGCAGCTGAAAGGTGGAAATGGTAGAACAGGAGTCGCCAGGAAAGACACGAAGCAAAAAACTTCTGGAAAGATGGAAGGGTGGCCCCCAGAGCGACAGCAGGCGGGATTTGATGAGAACAATCTTCCGTTCGGTGACTCTAGGAGAAACACGTCTGAAGATGAAAAAATAAAGAAATCAAATTCTGGAGAGCCAAGTCCCATCAGATTCAAAACTTCCAGTCTTTCCAATATTCCTCTGCTTTCCATGGAGAAACAAAGGTGGCTGGAAACACAGGAGACTCTTGCACTGAACAGACAGCGTGGGGAGAGACACGTGGAGCTGCCCGATGAAACCAAAGATGATGGAATTTCCAAATCTGAGAACAGTTCTCCGGTCAAGAAAACACCGATAACTCCTGGACCTTGGAGGGTACCAAGCGCATGTAAAGTCACCCAAACAGCGGGTGTGGCTGAAAAACGGGTTTGACTGACACCTTTTTTTAGAACATGTTTTAATCAAGTTTCTAATAACGGTCATTTAAAAGCTTTGTTTCTTTTCACAAAGTTGTCATTTTTCTCAGAAACTGGTTAGAGGGTGGAAAAGTATTTGAATTGTTTTAAGTTATCTAAGCTGCATGAAGGACTCTTGGATTGCTCAAATGAAACTCTTCGTAAGCTGCTGTCCCCTTGTCCTGTGGAAGGCGGTGTTCTGCTGCTCCCGACGTTGCACTGCTACGGCTTGCTCAGATAGTATTGTGAGTTTCTGAACAAAATTATTTAATGCCTGTATTGCCAATGTGATCATGACTCACTCCTCGTTCTTGTGCCAAGTTATCTGCTGTATCCAGTCAATCGGCTCCTTCTCATCCGCACCCCGCTCACAGAAGAGGAAAGGTTTTGTTCACAATGGGTGTTTTCTCAAGAGCATGTTGCATGTTTACATAAGGGAATACACGTCCTTACTGGTTCAGTAAGAAGATGGGCGAGTTGGTTCTGTCAATTCTAGGGCAGCAAATGAGCCACTGATGCTGTTCAGTTGAGGTTTTTTTCCTTAAATTTTTATACCTAATACAATCATGTAGATAATTATATTTGACATAATCAATGTTTTGTAATTTTGCTTTTTATGAACACGGCAAAATTGCTTGATTTTCTTGATTCGTAAGGAATGCTTACAGCAACTGTTTGCAAACATCTGTCTGAAAAGAGCAAATTCTGGGTTCTGTTAAATGATGTCGATCCTGTGGTTGGACCCGTGTCACCCTCAGCAGCGGAGGCAGCGCGTGCGCAGCTGTTCTCGGCGGTGCTGGGGGCTCAGGTCCCATCTCCCATCATTTAGTGTGCGTTAGGAATCGGGTTTTTTCCCTCTGTAGAGACAATTGACCTTTAGGACAGAACCAGCTCCCGTAGTGGCTTCTGGATGAAGTTCTTGCCTGTGATTATTAGAAGTTTCCTGTATTTCGCTTTGAACGTGTGATCTGTTCTAGGAGTGCTACATCGGGTGATGTACAGGGTACGTGAGACTTAAGATCTATTGTTTGGGCTGGAATACGTGTTTAAAAAGAAAGGAATGTTACCACCAGAACCTACTGACACATCAGTCCGACAGCTGTTAAGAACAGCAGACCGTGTAAGTTAAAGGGTTTTATTTTAATCATAGTTTTAGTGGTGGTTTCCTGGCGTTAGGTTTTTAATGACTCCAAAAACGTGGTAAAAGGAGCCCACTGGTCCAGTTTGCAGGAGGAGAAGGAGGTGTAAAGGGTCAAGCTTTACTTACGTTAAAATCCAAACCAAGATGATTTGCTATTTGAAAGTGACTTTTGGCTTTGGCCCGTTTGATGTTCTTAAAGCTTAATGAAGCACAGTGAGTCAGTTCTGAGTTGAGTTCTTCAGAAGTAGAGATGAATACTCAAACAGCTTTTTAAACAAAGACTTTGAAAATTAAATAGGCTTTAAAGCAGATCTGAACCGTGCTCTGCTGCTCGACATGGGTTGATCCATTGAGATTTGCTGTGTAGCATCACATGTACAAATACTCCCCGTTGCGGAGTACGACTGTGAAAATATTTAATACTTTGAAGTAGCCTGTGTAGATATTATCCCTGTATTCTTAACGAGATTGTTTTATGCTGAGCGTAGGCGCTTGCCCTGACCACTGAGCACAGATCCAGACCTTTAATACAAAGATGAATTAGCACCACTGAAATTACTGCCCTGGCATCCGCTACCCCCACACTTCTTTTCTGTTGCTGTGACCCGATTTAGTGTCTTACCTGTGTGTGAGTTCTCCTTCCATAGAACTTGTCTCTGTATTTCTGTCCCAGACGATTTAGCAATGTGGCCTTGGAATGCTGAGCAACGTATGGATGTACTGGGTGTAAATGTTTATATACTGTACAGCACCTTTATACATACTTCTGAGGTTCTGACTAGAGAGACCTGTAAATCGCTCATTATTTTTTATATAGATATTAAAAAGAAACTCCAGTTCATGGCCTGTTGGTTCTGCACTGTATGAAATAGATTGTGTTGACTTTCAGTGGTGTGATACTTCAGACAGCTCAATCTGTGACCCAGGTTTTGCCCACAAACATAATACCCTTCTGGAAACCAGTTTATTACTGCAGTTTATTACTGGAAGTTCCCTTGACCCCCTGTTCAGATAACAAATGTTCAGCAAAGGTGGTTATGAAAATCATCGAGTCGTGTAGAAACAGTTGTCAATGATGAAATACTTGTACTGTAGGTTTATTTGTATATTTTGATATATAAAATTGTCATCTCCTTTTACATCTTACAACTTTTCCTTGTACAGAAAATAGCTGTAAACAATTTACTACCAAAAATTCTTATGCCATCTCACCCCTCTGTCAAAGAATGAAGCTATGAAAAGTTCCTCAGTTTTTGGTTCTTTCATTACTAGGGGACAGCAGGGACTGAAGGAGAAGGTAAGTGTAACAGGCGTCTCGGAAACAAAATGTTTTACTCCTCTGCCCTTTCCAAACACGAAGGTGCTGCTGGGCAAGGACTTTGCCCCGTCTCTTCCCCCGTGCCCCTGGGGCTGAGCCCGGGCTCAGCTGCACCGAGGGGTGCAGGGAAGAAAGAGCTGAGAGGAGTTTCACCTGCGGGCCGGGGGCGAGGGGCGCTCGCGTACCTGCTGCTCCTGGACGCAGTTCGTGGTTTATTTGGGCCAGCGCCGGGGGGGCAGAACCCTCCTGTGCCCCTCGGGGCCAAGAGGCAACGGGCGCAGCTCCGAGGGGAACAAACGCCCTTCAGCGCCTTCACGAAGCTCCGGCGGGAGCCCGACTCCCAGAACCCCCAGTGCCCCCTACTGGTGCCTGGGTTTGCTGCGTGCAGGCCCTTAGACCAGTTTATTCTGAACGCTGTGGAACAGTGAGGCAGAGCTGATGCACACTGAGCATCTGTTTAAAAACTCCTAATTCCAGATTTCCGTAGCTGGAGAGCGGCTCCGCGTTCTGCCCGGGGCCGACGCTCGGTTCAGGGTTTGATTTTCCATAACTGAAAAGAGATCCCGGGTGTGAGGGTGGGACCCAGCAGGGGGCCAGGGGAGGGCCCGGCCCCTGCAGAGGCACCTCAGGCCTCAACCGGGCTGGAATTTAGGCCAGGCCCGTCCTTCCTCCCCGAGCCTGGCTCAGGGCCATGGGGATTCATCCTCCCAGTTACGGGGTCAGAGGAGCCCAGTTCAAACCCGCGACCTTCCCACCCAGGGGAGGGAGCTGGTGGCAGGACCAAAGTGCCCCTGAGGCGGCGGCTGCTGGCGGGTTGTGGGGGAGTTGTTGCACTTACTCGGATGTTGAAGCCCAGGAGATCGCTTATAACGCCCGAGACGGCGGAGAGGATAACCACACGGGTTATGTTGTAGATCAGGGGGTTCATGGTCAGCCCGTAGAGCCGGAACGGGGTATCCAGTTCCTGCAGCCAGGGGGAAGCCAAACCCGTCAGTGTTGGTCGCTGCCCGCAGCGATGGACGCCCCGAGGCGCGGGCTGGCAGCCCTGGCTCACCCTGCGCGGCTCTGCCAGCCCAGGGCCGTCCCCTGACCAAGGGCTGGGCTGAGCCCAGAGCAGCAGCTTCTGCCCGGAGCGGGGGGCTCCGCTCCCTCCTGGCCCCGTGGCTGCCGGAGGAAACAGGACTTGAGCCGGGCTGGTGCTCAGCTCCCCTCTCGCTCATCTAAATCGCAGTGAGCTGCTGCTCAGCAAATGTTTGCAGCAGAAATTAATTAACCACACCACGCTGGTGGCGCTTGAGCTTAGGCCGTGGCTGCAGCAGCACAGAAAAACCCCCGTGGGAAGAACTGACCCTGCCCGGTCCCAGCTCACCTTCAGCAGCTTTGTGGAGAGCTTCAGAACGTTGTTCACTAGCGACAGCTGTTCCTTCTTGTTTGGCTTCTTCTCCATCTTTAGGTACAGGTTTATCTGTGACGGGGACGTTACAGACCAGGCGTTAACATTCCAGCACTGGGCCCCAGGCATTTCTGACTGACACGGCTAACACGTGTTAGCCCAGACACAAAAATCTAGAGTTTTAGAATCTGAATCTGTCAGATGTTTAACAGCTTGTCCCTTCCAGTGTTTTACTGTCTCCCATCCAGCGCAAGGGTTGATTTCTAAATCTAAAAATTTGATTCCGGTATTTTTTAAGCTGGTTTGAAATGCAACAGTTACATCCAAACAAGCACCAAAGCCAAAGGGAGAAGGAGCGAAATGGAGGTACCTGCTCCGTAAGCAGGATTGAGATGTTACTGTATTTCTTGTTGGTTTCGGAGCCCAAAGATGCCAGACGTAGTAAGAAGAGCAGCAGGGCTGCCTCCCAGATCAGGAACTCCCAGTTGTAAGCTGCATTCAGAAATGTTTTGTGACCCTTAAGAACCTGCATGGGAAGCAGAAAAGCGGCAGCGTCAGTCACACGCGAGGTGGGAGACAGGGGGGGGAGCGTCGCCCTCAGCCCCCCCAAGCAGCTCAAAGCTCCTGAGAACTGCAGACGCCTCCCTGAGCCGCTGCAGCTCCAGCACTTTGTAGGTTGGCAAAAGCCTCCAGTAGTTCAGGGGCCTCCCCTACTTCTTTTAAAAAAAAGAAGAAAGTGAGAATCTCACCTGGGCGCAGCATATAAAAGCAATTGAAAGAGCCAGTAAAAAGATGGACGATACGACAACGTCCACGGAGCGCTGGGGGCCTCGGCGCTGCAGGAACAAAGAGTCAGGTCTGAGGGCGCGGGGGGGCTCCCCACGAAGGGGTGTAACCACCCCACAGTGAGCAGGGCTGGGAGTCACCCACAGGCACCGGTCACCCCCGCTGCGGTCGTCACAGCCCCCGTCAGAGCTCACCTTCAGGTAGGAACGAAGGGACAACCAGATCTTGATGTTTTCAACCTTCTTGAGTCTAAAGTGAGGGATTTCGTATTTCCTGGCTTTCCGAGCAGATGTGATGTGGCTGAAAAGCTTGGCAAACAAAAACCTCTGCGCGATAAAAACCAAAACACACAAACATCAACTGGTCTAAAAGGCGAGAGCGCTTGGGCTGGAGCAGTGGCGGCCCAGGGACGGTGCTTGGCCCCGGGGGGGACAGTGGAGGTGGAACCGCGGCTGCAGCAGCACCCGAGGGTGTCGGGAGGTTGTGAGGGGTGCAGGGGAGCCCCGGCAGCACCCCCAGAGCACCCGGCCTGCTGCAGGGAAGGGGCACAGGACCCCGAACCCACCTGTTTGTATGTTCTCTCTGCAACGCACATCATGAAGAAAAACATCCAGGTGAGGCAAAGTCTTTCAAGGAAGTTGATCGCAGACAAAACCACGACGGGGGCACTCGCAGGTGCTCCACAAAAGATGTGCAAAAGCTCCGTGAGGGAGAGGGAGCAGAGCTGCTCCAGGTGGTCTGTGCGGAAGAGCCTGTAGAGGAAGGGCAGGAACGCTAATCCAAGGGTGATGATGTTTCCCAGCATCTGATAGCCCGCTCCTTGCTGGTAGGCATTAACCTGGTGAGCAGGAACAAAGCCAGGGTGATTACCTGGGTTTGGTAACAAGGAAAAGGCGAGCTGGCGTGGCAGGGTTGGCTCAGTCCAGCCCTCAGCTCCCCTTCCCTTCAGAGGACACAGCCTGAAACAATTCCACCCATTTCAGCCCAAAACCAACAACAGTCAGTCCATGAACAATAAAACCACCACCTCAGCACACTGCAGAGACACAGCCAGCAATAACCAGCAGCTGGTCTCGAGCAGGACCTCCTCAAGTTTGGTTTATGCAGTTTTTAAGGAAAAACATTAGGGACAACTGTCCTTGCAGTTCGTATTTGCATGTGTAACTACTCCCGGGTGTTTGGGGGCTGTTTCCCGCGCGAGGCCGCGGTGCCTCGAGCCCTCTTACCCTGCTCATGATGATCCCACTGATCTCCAGCACAGACATGTCGACCTTCTTACAGTCGTTCCCTTCCCAGATCAGGGCACTCACTTTTGCAGATGCTGGACTCGTATTCTGCAGCCAAAACAAATGGTTCTGTAAAAGAGAAAAGAATGCAAAAGCTGTATAATCTATTTCTGTCCCGCTATTAAACGACCCTTTTTCCTAGAAAGTATTTAGATCGAGAGGGGGATTCCAAATTTGACTTTGGTTTGGATCAGCAGTGGCCCAGGCGATAGGGGCGGGGAGGAGGGAGCTGATGGGGGAAAGGAGACCCCTGACACGTGGAGAGAGGCCGGGGCGGGGGCCGGGGGGCTCTCACAGCACTCTCAGCTGCCGGATACAGAGGAACCAACCTGCTGGAAAACGTCCTCCTTCAGGTCCCGCCGGCCGCCCCTCACGGCCGTGTCCTCGCTGTCGCTGCTGCAGGACGAGCGGCACTCGGGCCCGTGGAGCAGATCGTCCCAGAGCATGTCCTCGGTCTCCGAGTCGTGGCGGGTGCTCTCCGAGTCCCTCCGGGTGACGCTGCAGCTCCGGGACCCCACGCTCAGGCAGGACCTCGAGTCCTGGGAAGAGCAAAACTCCGCCAGCGCAGCCCCGCGCAGAGGCCCCTTCCCCCAGCGACGGGCACGGGGCAGCTCCCGGGCGGCTCTGCCTCGGGCACAGGAACCCACCCACAGCGCCGGGTCCCACCTCCGGTCCCAACTTGGCAAAATAAAAATTGACTTATTCATTCTAATACAAAAGTTCTTTGGCTTTTGCATAATCTCTGCTAAGATTTATATTCTGTACTCATTTATAGATTTTTATAGTTCGATACTCAAATTTTATTTTATTTTCAGGTGGGGAGTGGCAGAGGGGAGGATAAAGTAATGAAGTGAATGAGTATATATCACAAAATAGATTTATTTTTCATTTTAAGATCAAAATTCATTGGCGTAGAAGCTCAATACAGTGCTGCCTCCCAAACCACCAGAGCACCTGCAGCAATCCAACACGAGCAATCAGAGGCGGCTTAGACCACCTACAGCGCCAAGAGAGCGACTTTGTGTTTGGCTTGGTTTTGCAAAACAAAGTAGGATTTGCACAGCTGTGAGCAAAGGTTAGGAAGCTGCTGGGAGGGGGCCACACCTCACACCTGCCCTGCGGGGGGTGTCCCTGCCAGGCCCAAGCTCCGTCCCTGCCACTCGTGACCGTACCTGACCATACAACGTGGATTCCAGTTCAGATTCCACGACACTGTCGGAGTCTCTGGCACCTTTCAGGACTTGCTTGACCTGCCGAAACCGAAGGAAAACCAGCTCAATGTCCGCAGCAAAAGCTGTGGTGGAAAGTGGCATAAACCGAGGGCGAGTACCTGCGAGACAGCCTGGTTCAGAGAAACAAGAGGCCTCTTCTTCTTCTCTTCATAGCTGTTGTCACTGGAAGCCCCTTCCAGGCTCTGGCGTAACAAGACCCTCTGTGCCGTCGCTTCGGCCTCCTCCTCGCTCGACAGCTCCTCCGAGACGCCCCTGTGGACGCCGTCGCCCTGCGGCAGCGGGAGGGTGAGACCTGCCCGCGCCTCGCTCCACCGACCGCTCATCCCGCACCAGGTCTCCCACAAAATGCAGAAAGTGTCCAGCTTGGCTCCACGGACATCGCCAACGTCACCTCGCCACCCCCCCTGCCACCGACGCCACGGGAGGGAATGTTGGGTGGGGGGAGCCGGGGCTGGGGCGAGGGCGGGAAGAGGCGGCAGCAGCTCTCGGCCGGGTCCTACCAGCGACCTTAAACCCAGCCCAGCAGTTACCCACCAGCTGGTGGCCGGCAGGCAAGAACAGAAAACGGTGAGGTGACCCCCTGCATCCCTCTCTGCCCCTCCCCAGACGGCTACAGAGGAGCTGGGACTCCAGGGGAAGCTCTTCATCTGGGAGTTAACACCGGGAGCCTCTAAAGCAACTGCACAAAGCTTCACGTTTGGCTTCAACAGAGGCCACGATGCTCCAGCTCCGTCCTTCCCCCTCCCCCGGGGATGTTTCAGTCGTTCCCCGCCTGCCCCCGAGGGGATATTGCAGGGAACTGTTTGCAAGGCAAATCGTTTTACAGAACTGCTCTTGAAAATCGCTAGATTATTTATTTTTAATCCTTATCAGCAGTCTTCCTTAACTGAACACCTTGTGACCCGAAGTCTCCACACTTTGGTACGAGAGCTGCTCCCCGGGGCCAGCTGCGCCCGACGCCCCCGACAGCCCCGCAGCTCGGCCGAGAAGTGGAAAGGGTGGTTGCGTTTCCCACATGCAAGCAAGGGCCAGCAGGAGGGAGAATCCTCTATTAGATCAAACCAACAACTCCTGGGCACATACAGAACACGCTGAAATTCGCAACTTCAGAGGGTTCTGTCCTGCCCGTACCTGATGGCTCTTTTCCCCATCGGAAAGTTTGTTTTTCTCTTTGAAGTGCAACAGCCTGTGTTCAGATCTGCCGTGTCGGTGTCTCACGCCATTATTCACAGCACTCACACCATTTTCTGTCTCGGTCCCTTTCTCAGCTACCAACTTTACTCTTCTGATCCTGTGAGAGAAAATACAATTAAATGCTTTTATGTCAGAGGAAAACTCTTTGAGGGGAACATCATGGTCTCTCTCACTTGCCACACAGGTACAACGTTAAGCAATACCCCTGCGGGGACACACAGCTCTCTCCTGCTGACAGGCTCTTTGTGTCCCGCTTCTGCTGAAGGGCTCCACTCGCACTGGATGGCTCATCTGTAACTCTAATAGTACCTTAAAACTTCCAGACCCAGAGGAAAATTTTTTCTCACTACTATTTTGAAAAAAAATAAGTAAACAACTCAGAAGACAAAAAGCCCTCAGGCCCAGAAAGGATCTGTCAGTTGAAAACTCATCAAGAAACTCACCTGAGGAAACAGAAGACAACAATGACATATTATCCCCAAATCTATCCTCCTTTTCCTCGAGTTACTTTTAGAAAAAAGGTGGTAAAGTGGGATGACTATCCAAGCAACTTAAACAAGGCACAACTGCTTCTGGGAAATCAGGTAAAACAGTGACAGACCCTGAGTGTACACATTCCAGAGAGGTCACTCATCTGATCAATGAAAACTGGCTCCATCACTTTCTGCAGCTCACCTAAGGCTCAGCTGCAGCCAAAGCACGGCCTCCTCCTAAGGACACGCCGAACACGCGTGAGCAGTCAGCCTGCCACAGTGCCCACGGGGCTTTGAGTCCAAAAGAAACTAACGAGCAGACTCTGGGGACGCCAGCGACAGTTACACATTCTGTCTTCATCTTCCAGATATCAAACCGCTCACAGTGTCAGTACAAATGCAACAAACCCAGAGAAGATCACATACCTCCTTTGGAAAAGCATACTAAATAAATTGTTAAGAATGGATGCAGATTCAGACTGCTCTTCTTTACTGTTTTTGTCAGGAGACCAACTGTTCCCATCGACACCCACAGATTTGCGTAACTTCCTGATTTTTAAAAAAAGGAGAATTAAATTTGCTTAGCAGGCGACTATTAGGCTTTTCTTAAAAGATCTGAATCAGATTTGAACAGCTTTTTAGATGCAATTTTTCTTAAGTCATGCAGACAGAATGCTTATTTCCAAATAAATTTTATTTGGATTGACAGAAACTGTGCATACACCCACAGGACATCAGCGTATGCCCAGTAAAGGATTCAAACAGACAAAATCTGGACCAAATCTCTGCTGTGGGAATCTGATGGAGGCAAAGCTCTACCCACATCCACCATCCTGTGCTCAAGCCCATCCTATCACAGTGCTCCAACGGAGTTGGGCACCCAACAGTTAACACAGTAAAACGGGTGTAACAACACACAAACCAACCCCCCCCCAGCCACCGTCTCCCTGACCTCAACACCCCGGCCACCCCTGCAGCAGGACACCAGCCGGGTCTGAAAAACCGTGGAGAAGCCTTTCTGTGCAGAACTGTCCCCTCCCTTCCCCTCCCCGCCACAAAAAGCGGCGTGTCAAACCGGGAAGGGCCCAGCTGAGAGCTAAACCAGACCTACCTGACCAGACCCGGCAGATCTGCAGCATCGGTCTCGGTTATGAGCAGATTACAAGCAAGTCAGAAAACACTCATTTTCAACTTTAAGGTTAAATAACATATTTACATAAAGATAAAAGACAAGGCATTTACCCGTTAACTTCTACCAGCAGGCACCACCGCGCTCTGAGGCCCAGCAGCGAACCCCCCCGCTCACCTCCTGCGCCGGCCGAGCCCGTTGCTCCCCGAGGGGCGGCTGACCTGGGTGGACACTATCTGACAGTGGACGGTTCCCATCAGCAGCATAAGGCACATCGGTCCCATGACTTCACTCGCGTTCACAACAGGCACCATGAAATACAACACAACTGCTATGACTGCAAAGGAGAAAGCGGAATCAAATGCAAAAGTTAACAGCAGCACGGCCCAGTTCTTGTCTGAACTATTTACTTTTACTGTGCTTTACAGCGTCTGCAAACTCTAGTGCCACACATCGCGAAACCCACAATGAGCAGGTTTCAGACGGGACCCTTATGCTTTGGATCAGGGGCTACAAAATGATGTCCCAGTCCTTGCAGAAAAAGGATTGCGCCACAGAGCGCTGCCACCTCTCACCTTGCATAACGTAGAGCACCAGGAGCCACATAAAAATACGCTGGGAGGTGACCTGTATCCACCACTGGCTGAATAATGGAAAAAATACAACTCTCACAATTCCTTTCCGAGTGAGTGATGTCCAGGGAATTTCGGGCTTGGCTTTGGCAAATGTAGAGCCTTAGAATTAAAGAAAAAACAAACGAGACATCAACTGTGAATTACAAGAATTCCCTTACTTAGGCCGAGGCCAAACCCTGTCACGCCGCCGCAGCTGCGGGGGGTGACCGGGCGCAGCCCCGGGCCCG